ACCTAGGAGTTGGAAAACCCTGATTCCAAGCCAATGGTGCGTATGGTCTCCATGATCCTGGAGGGACAAATGGCTTATGAATCTATCGTTGGTAACCGGCTACCATGACACTACATCTTGTGATGTTGTGCCACTCTCTTGTGGATTAAACCTTTAGGTCGAAGACTCTTTGTGTGGTCCCCTAAGAAAACCACCTTCTTCGGTTTGGGCACCCAGGTATTATCTCCTCCCACACACAAACCCAGTGACTTGTGTGGCGCATATGTATTTAGTACGCGCTTTGTACCAATATTTATGTGTCCGAATAAATAAACAAATAAATAAATAGCTTCCACTATACGAATCATTTATTTCAAACATACCTGATTTATATACAAGCCAAAACGCATCACATCACATCATAAAATAGGAAATAACATTTGTCCAAGATCAAACCGAGAAGTTTCTGTGAACGTGGTAGACGGCAAATACTAAACTGAACTTAACTGAAGAACAGTAAATCGTATAATAATAATCTATAGGTCAAAATGAAGCTTATAATAAGAGGAATATAGATATACATAATCTAGTTACTGAATAGTTATACGATAAGAATATTTATAGAATATTACTCCATTAATAATCCTCGGAAGTTACCTGTTATTTAACCTTCACTAGGATATAACAAAAGAAGTTTCTTTATCCTATTTGTTTTTGGCTAACATCAAGCTTATCACAATACTGTAAAAGTAAATGAATACAATCGTTATTGCCAGTCTATTTATTTAAATTCATTACAATGAGTATAACAATCTATTTGAATCTCATGTAATAAGTTTTATCTTCGGATTTTTCATAATGACCTTGAGTTCTTCTGTCCTAATTATAGTGTAATTCAAGGCGAATAAAGTTGTCCTATATATAATGTTGACTAGTCTTCGTGGTGAGACTATAATTTGTGGACAACCTTTGAGTGACGCTAACGTGACTTTGAGAGTGTCGACCTAATGACTAAGACTAAATGAGGGTTGTAAACCAGCGTGAGAAATTAGAATTATGATATACAGTTAATGATTAAGGATAGAAATTAGATTTAGAGTTTTCACCACGAACTGACATCAGCTGTAATGCCAAAACTCTACTTATACAAATGGGTGAGTGAACTTTGCGCCAAAATCCAAGACCTGTTATCTTATAAGTAATTGGTTCGTCCATAAATCTCGCCGTCTTCGTTTTAAAATATGAATCACTTATGAAAAATGAATTATCTATTGATCGTTCTTTCTTTTCTTACAAATGTGACACAGAATTATTTCGAACCATATACAGTAGTTTCAAAACTATAGAAGATTTCGGGCTTAACATTAACTTAAACTTATATCGAAAACCATTTTGGCTAGAGACCTCGAATGAGATGGCTCAGAATCATTTGTATTGGCGCAGGTCCATCCACTCCTTGTATTCTCTTAAATCCTAATCCTCCAAATCCTTAATGTCCCTTTCCAAATTTATTTCACTGGATTATACTCTTTGAATAACATCTTCAAACCATAATCTTTCCAATTACTGCTTATACTTTTACTACCTCCACCATTATGGGATTTGAATTGACAATTGTATTTCTGTGCTAATGTAGTATGGTAACTCAAACTGATGTGTGTAAGTAAGGAGTTCTAGGTTGTTGCTGACTGACTGAACTACTTTGCACGCCTAAAAATAACTGTTCATTTACAATTTCATCATTTAAAATTATCGTTGAATTATATTACGAATATAATATGCATAACAACTAAACGAAACCGATAATCACTTCTTTAGCATGTTTCATATTAACTGACTAAACCCGTGATTTACAGTACTGAATGCCTAGTAGTTAATGTATATGTAGCATGTCACTGATACATCAGCTATTTAGTCGTAGGAAATACTGACAAACCTTACGAGTATGATGATGAAATCCCGTGAAGAGGGTGTCATTCAATGTGTTATAACGCTCGCATTTCCACGTCTACATGTATGGGACGTTAATTTACCTTAGACGAATATCTACACTAGATTCCCTCTCAGTGTCTATTCTATAGGACTTCAACACAACTGAGACCAAGAACACGTGATTAGCCTGGTTAGAGCGTAAATATATTCCCACATCAAAAACCGACAATAACAATAGTAATAAACACAGGAGAATATATAACTCATCTAACGCCTGTCAGACTATCTACAAGTCTAAATAAGCAAACAACCAATCATTATCTTCTCACCCATGCATCACAGTGTTGCTTATCTTCATCCTAATTCGGAAATCCTCGCTACCATCAATCTATAGACCGAAATATGCTGTGCTACCTATGAAGTTATGTAAGTCAGAATACTTAGAATGGATAAAGTTAGTCAGTTGTATGTTAAGAAAAGTTATTAGTGCATTGAGAGCCATGATTGCTCAAAAATGACCCAATCGAATGATTTTAGAAACTAATATACAAACGACATTTAATTGTACGAAATAATTGTTAGTATCTCAATCACAGAACTGGGGTATAAGCTAAATAATTCAATAACTGGACTGATCTTTCACTTCCAAACTATGATATGTTACCAGATAAGAATTCACAAATGAAATCGCAGGCAACGTTATTCGAGATTTATTAAAAGAAACCGACCAACTTCTACGTATTCACGTGGACATAAATAGTGACACTCCATATAGATCAGAACTGTTTATGAATTAATCTCGTTGAATTACGATTAACAGCATCATAGTTTGGTACTTTTGTGGTGCAAGTTACTTATTTCCACATAAGTAGTATATAAAGATAGTCAGGAATAGAATATATTTCAGTAGAAGATCGAGAAGGAAAAAAACGGGAACAGAAAGCAGTTGATGTGAAAATGCAAGAACAATGAAATCTGAGGATGTTCTGTAATTTCATGTCCAAATACATTCGATTGTCCTCACTTGTGTTCTTGTTCACTACACTTTGACAATTATGAATTAGTTGTAATCTTTTGTGTGATTGAACATATCTGGTTAAAGTAATTTGTAGACTACTGTTAAATTATGGAAGTCAGAACAATTAAATCACTACTTTTTACTCCTGCTCCATTTATACTGCTTTTCCATAAGAATGATAAATATTCACTATGAGTTTTGACAAATTTAATCATGTTTCTGGGTAATGTCTAGAACGCGTTCCCTCATACTCAGGATTAGTCAGCTGAATGCACGGTAAAACATCGATATTTAAAGGTAGTTTATATCATGGAAATAACCCAGTCAGACAACCATTAGTAGCTGAAGAACATTATAAGAGTATTTTTTTCCTACTATGGGACTCCTCAATAGTACATATCCACAACTTTATCAGGAATCGAATGCAAGAACTATGTGGTTGATCGTAGGTCGTTGAATCAGTACCCAGCTAAAGCTAATACATGATGTCAACTAACTTCCTACTATCTATGCTAATAAACATGTTATGCTTCAAATAGTGTCACAATGCAACAGACCTGGCCTCAACTTTGGAGTGAATGAGTAACTAGTGACAAGTGGCTAGACACTTGATTACTAAGACCATGAGTTTTCGATTTCTCTCCTCTCTATTTATTTAAACACATAAATATTGGTACAAACGCGTACTACATACATATGCGCCACACAAGTCACTGGATTTGTGCGTAGGAGGGGATACTACCTGGGTGCCCAAACCGAAGAAAGTGGTCTTCTTAGGGGCCCACACTCGGAATCTTCAACGTAAAGGTCTAATCCACAAGACAGTGGAGCGACATCACAACATGCAGTCCCATGGTAGCTAGTGACCAACAACAGGTTCATACGCCATTTGTCCCATCAGAATATTGGAGCCCATGTGAATGATTGATTTGGAATCAGAGTTTTCTCACTCTCCTAGGTGGATCCTCCGTATCCACCAACGGCATTAAAGAGCCGGACATTCACTTTCCTTCCTCTTAATTTCGTAAACAACACCTGTGGCGCGAGAAGACAGCGGATAAGACTTCCCTGACAGTGGCTGTATTACTTGTGACTATATGAGAGCATTTCGAGAAGGAGAGCTAACTCTCTCCACCCTTGGCCGTACTACTGTATCATTATTCTGTTATGTGTAAAGAAAACCTCACTAAATAAACAAGAGGTAAACAAACAAAACTAGAGAGAGAGAAAAAAAACACCCATCATTTATATTCAGTGGCAAGTTAAAAATTAAACAACAAAATCATGTTATAATCGTTTTTCTTATATAATACAGGTATTAGAATGTGATAACAAAAATTGTCTCTCTTGTCAAAATTTTATGAAAACAAGATTGATAATGAAGTAAAAGTGTGTGTGTGTGTGTGTGTGCATGTGCATATGATAATGGATTGTATTTGTATATATATATATATATATGTATGTAAAGGTGATAGAATGCAAGAAAAGTGGAGGAAATGAAAACAACAGAATAGATATAAGAGATCGTGTGCGTGTATAAGAACTATCCATTAAATTTCTTTATAATTGAAGAAAGATTATGTTAATCCGTGAACATGTGTAACACTGAACTATTTGCGAATCAGAGAATAAGAAAAAAAGTGATGATGATGATGATGATGATCAGCTGCATCATTCATTCAAGTGTACACAAACACATTTGCTTGTGTACAACATCAATATTACTTATTATAATATTAGAAGAAAGAATAAGAATCATTGTAATGAGTAAGAGAAATACGAAGTACCTATCTATTACTGGTATTTTTGTGTTTAACACACACATTTCCAATCATATTTTATACATACATACAATGAGTTCATTTATGTTAAGAGAACAGAAAGGAGAATTAGCCAACTTTTAATAATTCAGAAAAAGGAAATTAATATCAAGAAGTAAACGTTTGAATGTAATTACGCTGAAATCGTACGAATAATAATAATAATGAAGAATATCATTACAATGGCAAAGAAAAAGGTTCTGAATGTTTATAAAACAATTCATAGAGTATCAAATGTATAAATGAACCAATATGTATGTATGTATGTATGTGTACGTATGTATATATATTTGCATGTCTTCAAATTAAAAGTATCCATGGATAGTAAACTAAACAACAAACTCTAAACATGATAAAATAATGATTATGTAAACAAATGAAATCAACAATAATCAATCAATCAATCAATTCATTCATTCATTCAATTATTGATTTATCTCTATAAATCGAATTGAAACAAATGAAATTAATAAACAATTAATGATCAATTCGATACGTTCTCATTTCTACATAATCAACAGTACATATAGATTAAAAGTATAATACAAGAAAGAAAGAAAAAAGCGAGAGGAGAATAGGAGAAAGAATAAATGAATCATAAATCCATATATATATATATATATATATATATATATATAATTGGGTATCAAAGAAAAGGATAGAGGGAAAGAGATAGAGACACACGCACACACGTGTATCATAAGTATTATACAGTAACTGTGCATAAAACAATGACAACATTACCAATAATAATAATCCTAGTTTTAACATGTACACACATGTAAGGAATATGTGATTTCATTCTACCTTAGTATTCTTATAAAGGTAATGAGACAAAAATTAAACAAATAGAAATCATTAAATTTAGAAGGCAAATAACATTTTGTCAACAAACAAACACATACGCGCATATACACGTACATGAATACTGGAACTAGGAGAGAAACAATACTTCTTTTAATTAGATCAGTTTATTTTGTAACTAGGGCAGTTACGAAAAAAAAGAGAGAGAGAGAGAGAAAACGAGAAAAGAGTAACAATGTGGTAGTTGGTAATAAACTGAGCGAGGGATGATATACATGTATAATTAACAAATACTATAAGAATTTTACATTCTTCTCATTAATATAATCATTAACCGATATCAATAAGGAAAGTAATAATCGTAGACAACAATATTGAACAGAGTGCCAAGTAAAGTAAACAAAACAAATCAATATGAGAAATCGCTTCATCCTATACACCCTCCACCCTCCCATTAAAAAAAAGCATAACGATTATTTTGTATAGGAAACAAAGTACAAACACAATGATAATGATGATAATAACAATGAAATAGGAGTAAGACTAAAATTTAAAGTCAAGAAATAAAAATAAAGGTATACATAAATGAAATAAGGAGTTCATGTTAAAGTATAAAAACGGATAGAGACTAAGGAATGAAAACTCATCATTCATCATAATAAAGAATTATATGAATAATAATAATAATTATTATTATTATTAATTAAAACATATTGTATGTATTAAATACAAATGAGTTGTGTTACTATTTAATCATAAATGTATCTTATTCATGATCAATATCAGTTAAAAATGGATATATATATACAAAGAAGAAGAAACTACAAACGAACAATCAAGAGAGAGTGAGAGAGATCATGACCATGATAGAACACAGAGAGAGAAAGAGAAAGAAAGAAAGAAAGAAAGAAAGAAAGAAAGAAAGAAAGAAAGAAAGAGAGAGAGAGAGAGTAACGAAGCTAGGAGAATGGAGAATACACCAATCAACTACTTCTCAATTATAAGTTGATTTTGTTTGTTTTAGAAAAAGAAAAGAAACAAATCAAATACAGTTTGTTGATAGCATTATTATTCATTATGAGACAATATGCACATATATATAGAGAGATAGATAGATAGATGTATTTTTGATTAAAGAAAAGAATGAGATCCAAAATTCATCATTATTGTTATTCTAGTAGAAGTCTTCATCTTAATGTATGATTCTTCAAATTAAGTGATCAATAATAATTGTTTGTTTTTTCCTTTATCTTCAAACAACTGATGATGAATAAGGCTGTGCTGAAGATGTTGATGATGATGATGATATAGAAGATATAGGTAATGAATTATCATAAGGATCTTGTGATTGTCTAAGTATACTTCTATTTCCATTATTATTATTAACATTATTTGTATTATCCACCATACCAATTGTTCCTAATGATGTATCCGATGGATGACCACCACCAGTAACCGGTGGTAATGGGTTTAATGAAAAGTTAGCATTATTAGTATTATGCATTTGACTGGAATACATTTCTCGACTTGCATTTGTTGATGCTGATGATGATGACATTGAAGTGAACGTCATTTGATTGCCAATCGATTGATGAGGATACCAGTTTGATCTATTATTATTATTGTTGGCCATCATCATTTGTTGAGATTGCTGTGGATGAGGCGGCAAGGCATGATGTTGTGAATGGGAATTCAATGAAATATTATGTTTCATCTCTCCATTCATAGGATTTACCACCGATGGACGTTTATGATTACTATTATTAGTGGTAGGTGTTGCGCTACTACTATTACTATTAGCATTAGTAGTATGTCCTATATTTGTAGAATTTTCCATCATACTACCAACAGCACCACTAACAGATATATTATCTACAATATTATTACTATGACTACTATACATTGTAGAATTCACCGTAGAATTCGACATTAAAAACTGTACTTGATTCGTAGAACTCCAATCACTATTATTACTACCGGAATAATCACACATGGACGATGAAGACATCATCATTTGATGATTTTGTTGTTGATGATGATGATAATACTGTTGATGAATTTGACTTGTTTGATGATGTTGTGGTTGTTGTGTAGATGATGAGGAGTAGGATTGAGGTTTAGCACCATCGTTGACAGTCGATTGACGGAGATATTGTTGTGAGTGCTGATTCACATGAACACGTTGTTGTACTGATGGCATATCGGATGAATTTGCGAACATTTGATGAGATATGATATCAGTGGATGGATCCATCTTGGTAGACATAGATGTTGATAATGTATCACTGTTATTATTACTATTATTATTGCTACAAGCTGAATAATTCATTTGAGCATCACGTAATACTGGGTGATTAATATTTCTACCCAAACGATTATCAATGGGTTGACCTAAGGTTTAAAAAAATATAAGGTATTTTAAAAACATTAATATCAAATATAACATTTTGTAAGAGAAAAATTAGTTGATGAAGGACTGTAAATCTCTATGGATAACGACATATGGGACAAGCCACTACCCCTACCCCTAGTCACAATGCACTAAGCTGACTAGCATACTATTAAGTTGGAACAAAGACTTTGGGAACAACCGATTCACAGTAGAGATATTAACTTTTTAAACAAGATGATGACTGTTGAATTAGAAGCTTCACATCATGAACTGACTTTGGTAAGATAAACAATGAAAACTAGGAAGCATTGAATAGCTGTTTCACCCTGCCTATGGGACTCACCGAAAGTTCACATCCACAGCTCCATGAGCGATGGAACCCATGACCTTCATCATACAATAGAGATAATTATATGCTTAAAAGCCGTAACCAGTGGAGTTTAGATACGACGTTAAAAAAACTTTGGCGGCCTACTTGAATATCTGGACTACCTGTCCCTTCTATCTGAATATTTCAACAAGTTATCTGTTTTCTTGTTTGTTTCAACACATCATTATGTCTATCAGTCGCATAACCTATTCAGTTGCGTTTATGAAAAGTTTACGACATTTCGCTGTATAAGTTTAAAAAAAAGCCCAATCAGAGACATCGTGATGGCTGACATGCAATATGCATTGAAAAGAATAAACATTGTTTAGATGTCGATTCCTGAACTGCTAACATCTAACTGGCAATCGCTCAATATTTATCGTCAGGATCGATCAAGAGATAAGAAAAGGAAATTTATTGAAATACTTTGTGCTAAGAATTCTGTATTGTACAAAAAATATAATATTGAATAAAGTCATTAATAATAATAATATAAGAAAAATACCACTACTGTCAATGTATGGTATGTGAATTGGAATGAAGCTACAGATGCAAAAAAAGAATTAGATGTCAATTCAATAACCACCAGGCCTGTATGTTTTCTACTACAATTGATATTTCAATAGTTGAAATCATGAGTCAATTGAAGCTAGACCACCATGGAAAACCTGGAAGCACTGGACGACCGTTTCGTCTTAGTATGACTATCTTATTCACTTTTTCGTTTGTACAATTTTTATTGACTGTATTTTGTGTAAATAAGGTAAGTTATCTTTTTCTATGTACCAAATTTTATAATACTTTGAGTTCAGTTAATTATTGAGATGTCCACTTTTCGTCCTTCATTTATTTTATTTGAACACATACATATTGGTACAAGGAGGCACCGAATATATATGCGCCAAACAAATCTCACTTGGTTTGTGTGTGAGCTGTGATATTGACTGGGTACCCAAACCAAAGAAAGTGGCTTTCTTAGGGGACCACACCCGGAGTCTTCGACCTAAAGGTCTGATCCATAAGGCAGTGGAGCATCGTAAGGAGATGCAGTCGCATGGTAATCGGTGACCTACGATTGGTTCATACGCCATTTGTTCCTTCAGGATACTGGAGATCATGTGCACCGTTGGCTTGGAATCAGGGTTTTCTAACTCCCCTAGGTGAACTCTCCATGTCCATCAACCCGGTTAAAGCGCTGAACATTCGCTTTTCGTTCTGTTAATTCCGTAAACAACACCTATGTTGCAATAAGGTAGTGAGTAGGACTTCCATGGCATAGGTTATATACGCGTGGCCATGTGAGAGCGTTTTGAGTGCGAGAGTTGACTCTTCCCACTCTCAGCCGTACCAGAGAATTTAGGGCTCCTTCATAATTGACCTGTTTATTATTATGATGCAAAGGAAACAAATTTCATAGGGCGATAAAAATTAATTGAATTAGATAGAATTGATTATGAAAATAGATTTAACATAAAAATTATATTTTCAAAGGAACTCATAATAACATGAAAAACATATAAACTCACTTTGATGATTACAATTTGAAGATTTAAAACTATTTAAACTGGTTTCGTTAGTTGACGATGCTGTCAATGAATTTGGACCTAATGGATTTGACTCGAAACTTGTATCACTCCATCCAAATGTTGAATTATTATTATTATTATTGTTATTACTGTTATTAATATTATGCCTTCCCCCAGTAGTAAATTGACCAGTAATTTGAGAATGCTTACCTTGACCTTGAAGATTAGGTGGATAATTTTGTGGAATAACCGATTGTGAGGATGATGAATAATGGTGTTGATTTGAATTATAAAATTGTCCAGGAATATTTTGATTAGTAGCATAGGATTGATGATTTGACTGAAAGGTAGGATGACGAATAGAGTTATCTGTAACATGTGAGGTGTTATTATTATTGCTATCTATATCAGATGGCATATATTGATAACTACGTACAGAATTAGACCTTTGCATTTGATTTGGCCCAGGTAATATACCTGAAGGTCCTTGATTGTTAGAAACTTGAGGAGCAACAGTTGGAAGATATTGAATTGTATGTGGTGTTCTAGGAGTAATTTGAATACTTGCATTACCATAACCAGTATTACCTCCGCCAACAACTGAAGATCCTAAAGGTGTACAAACAACAGATGAAGTAATTACTGAACTAGACGGAATAACTGCAGGAATTTCAGATTTTGACGGACAATCAACAATACGTTGATGATGAGAATGATGATTAACTCCATCAGTATTGTATAACAATGGATGATTGTTTGAATTATATTCATTTGATGAATTTGTCATACGAATTGTACTACTATTATTATTATTATTGTTATCTGATTGTCGAACTGAACGTAAATGTTCATGAGATGATGATGGTGGTGGAATTGGATGTTGTGTTGTTGATGGTTGTTGTTGTGCAAAATGTATTTGCATTTGACCAGTTGATCCAGGTGCACTAACATGTTGATAATTCATTTGTTGTACATTTAATTGTGCATTAAAAAATGTATTATTCACCTAGAAATATAAGTGAATACAATCAATGTTAACTAGTAACAAAAACTTTGTTTTGTTTTTTTTTTTAATTAAAAATTCATTGGAAATTTTTCTTATCATTGAAAAATCATTTAATTAAACTAGTACTATTCACATAATTATTTGGTTATTCTATTTTAAAACAACTTGAATAGAGAGAAAATTAACACAACACACACACACACACATACACATACACACAAAACCATCTCTCTAAACAATGTTTAATGTTAGTGACAAATTCCTTTGGAATATATAAACATATAAACTAGATTCTTGGTTGTTTAAAGAAATATGAAAAATAATCATAACAATATATGTAGTTACTGTTACTACGAAATTGATTTTAATCGTCCGATTATCAGTTAATATGATGTCATGTCCTAAAAGTTGGGGATGAAGTAGGAGAAAGTTAGAAAGGTATAGGCTTTCGAAGTAAGACGTGACATCAGTCCATCAAATCACGGATAGTTTAAAAAAGTAATGTTACTTGATAAAGACTAAGGTTTATACAATAATCTTATTCAATATTTGAAGATATTGCATGAAATGATTTAGAGTTGATCACAATAGTGTAGATCCATTCATTCATTATCTCCCTGAGTAGATTTTTTGAGTTATAGTATTCTTTCATATATACTTTTAACTGAAATTATTTTAGTTCTTTAGCTGGTCACCTTTTTAACTTGTTCAGTCACTCTATCAATGCAAAATGTAACAACTTTAACCGACACATATTCGTACCAGATGCTATGTGAACAATGACTAATTTTATGAAATCATGTCGTCAGCTGAAGAATATTGTTGAAAACAGAGAATAACTACTACTAAATAGCTATTTCATTTTAAGGCTCCTTAAATTAGTAGTACATCCGCTTCACTCATCATTGAATCCTCATCTAAAGTATTCTGGTATGGCAATAAATACAATATATTCTACGACCATTAAATCAATTTAATCACGGAAAAAATAATCCACCAAACAATTAACTTATTACATAACGATTAAACTTGAAATTAAGAACGTATATATCGTCCCAATTTACAAATCATCAGTTGAATATACCTGGGCATTCTAATGTGGAAACAGTAAGACTCAAATCTTATATTTATTTCAAATGTTTAAACACTAGATAGTAACCGAGATAGATAGAAAACTTCATTTCTCAATATTATAAACAAGTGACAATTATAAAAGTAAGTGTAAACTTTTGAGAATAATACTTAACATTTACCTTGTATACATGGTGACATACGAATAAGACAACAACAACAACAACAACCTTTGGAGTACAAGATAGATAAACAAAATAAACACACCTCTGTTTCATAGACAAACTGATGATGTCATATATACGTTCAACTCTTTAGGGATTATTATTTTTCTTTTTAAATATGGTAACTTTCATAGACTAACTTGTAATCATCATTAATATCTAAATTGTTGTTGATAAAATTTTCTAATTTTCTATTGACATTTTATTTCGTTAAACTTTTTAAGAAATAAAGAATGACCTTGGTGGTGGTGGTGGTGGTGGCGGTTGGAGGGTTTTTTTTAGTTGTTGTTTAAAATCAATATATTAGTTTCTATGTGATCAAGAATAAATCAATAGAAAATTATTCACCTTTAACTAATGAACTAACTAAGTAACCAAAATTCATCCTAAACTTTCATTTCATTCAATTCTGTTTCATTAGTTGTTGTTTTTTATTTTTATTTTTTTTAAAAATTGAAGTCAGTCAGTCAGTCAGTCAGTCAGTCAGCTACAACATATAAGAGAAAGATTGCATATTGAAGTAAAAACTTTGAATAATAGTAACAATAATTATTATTGACTCGTGTCAATGATCAATGATTGTTTTGTTCTATTTTAGAATTCTTAACTCATATACAAGATCCAACACTTTTAAAGAAGTAGAAACTTATACTTCAAAGTTTTATAACAACCACAGTATTATTTATTTATTTATTTGAACACATAAATATTGGTACAAGAGAGAGCGCCAATATATATATGCACCACACAAAACAATGAGAATTCGAAGAGAAAAAAAGAGTTAAGGAGCGTTAAAAAAAGAGAACAATAACGAAGAGATTGGTGTAAGGTAGTGTGGTAGTAATGAGGGAACGGAAAGGTACAATCGGAAGAAATCTTTCAGGTAAGGAAGACACAACCAATTTTTATGAAGAAAGTAAAAGAAGGTTACAGCAGGATCGCCGCTGGCTTCTATTCTGAGCCATATCTGATAACGTCTCTAGCCACTGTGTAGCACCATCTCTCGGACCCCAACCAGGGAGTCGTGAAGGATCAACAGAAGCCAGTCCTTTGCAGCTTTCTTTCATGCCACGACACCATGTCATACACTGACCACATCTCCGCTTCTTCCAACCAGTTCCAGAGTCGGCAAACAATGCACGACGTGGAATTCTCTGGGACGACATTCGTAGAACATGTCCAAGCCACCGAAATCGGTGTTTCAAGATGGTGTCATCGAGCACAGTAACCTTTTGAAATATGACAGTGGATGATGAAAGTTACAATCGTAAGGGAATTAGCAGTCCCCCTTAATACTTGCTAAGTCTTGCTAAGTGCCAATTGAAATTAACAGGAATGTAGATGATACCCTGAAGCGTTGGTCGACCTTTTCTATCGTTGAAATACTTCATAATTAAGGTTTTACTATTTCAAGTAGAACGGTTGAAAAGCAATAAAAAAATGAGCGTAACAAATTCAAACCTTCAGGGCAAAGTCGCACTAGGATGTAATGTCAGTGAGATAAATGATATAACTGACATAGCGCTAGCAGTTAAACCTGAATAGTAAGAAGCTAGTCCAACCAGAACCACTCACAAAAATGTTTTAGATGATCGGATACATCCAGTTATCCCTTGGACTCCGTGGTGAACAAGACCATTATTAGTAACGCAGTTTTTTTCAAATCTCTCAAGGATAAATATCATCCTAACCTAAGGAGAAGCAAGAACCGACAGACCATCAGGGACAAGTTTAGCAAAAACCTGGCTAGTTTAACTTTAGAGTAAAAACTATTCTCAGATTGAACGATCTCCGCAAAAAAACACCAAGTATAAAAAGACAGAGCAAAAGTATGGTACTTACTTGAATCGAAGGAGGCTGCTGCTGAGATGGTGTTGGTAAATTGGGAACTGGAGAAGGAAGTGAAGAACCACAATTAGTGACAGTGCCCATAGGATTTTGTGGTGGTTGTTGTATTGTTGGTTGAAGCTGTGGATTTGTATGGGGATAGCCTTGGGAATTAAATTTAGAATTTATTGGAATAGTTTGGGATGATAAAGAATGAGGTAAATTACAATTATTAGGAGTCATATTCGATGATAATGATTGGTTAGGATTGCATAAATGTGATTTCGAGCCACAATTTCCAGGACTTGAGTTATGATTGCGTGCACCTTGAGATATAATATGATGTGCTCCTTGAGGTGGCGTTGGTATAACGGGACTTCCATCTAGATGAAAGGAAGGTAAAGATCCACTACGATTTGAGTGAACGGCATGACCAGGCATTGATCCAAGACTATTCCCAATGGTTGGATTATAAAATGAGGCTGAACACGATGGAATGTACGGACCTTCAGGTCCAGACATTTGAGATAATCGTGCTAAACTAGCTAAACTAGCAGAAGTTAAATGCTGTGTGCATGGAGTACTACTAGGAGTTGTCCTCATAGTAATAGAATCTGGATTTGGTCCCATCATATCGGATGAATTGAAATATGGATGATTCATCGGTTTATTCGTATTAGCACTGTTCCCATAATTACTAATTGGACCATAATTTGTATTGCAATTCAAACCTGTACGACTTCCAAGATTTGAGATGGAACAGGATACACTTGGACTGACAGTACCACTAGGAAATGGTTCACCACTACTTTTTGGTGTACCAGAATGACGAGAATTAACTAACAACATCATTTCCATATTCCCAGATTGTTGTTCAATTGGAATTTGTCCGGAATTCGGTCCACATATTATGTCCTTAAAATAAGAATAATATGAAATCATTTAAATATGGTGATTTATCAAACAAATAACTTGATCAAATTGTAGATTACTTAAAATTAGTAATTCCAGTCATATTAACTACTGACTTTAATTATTGATCAAGATGAAAAGAATCGCCATACTATTTAATTACTTAGTGTACAATGTTTGTTCACCCGAGATTACACCACACTTCAAGGAGTAAAGAAAGCTGCTGCTAATAATAATAATATCCGGGATGTCAAACTGAAGTGTATAAAGTAGGATTTAAACCTGAAATCCAATGGTCAAAAAGTCAGGTGCTTTACTGATGAACCCACTGACTGACATCATGAAGTCAATTTGTTTTACAGAAAAGAAGTTTGACAACATCAAGTAGTAGAGAGTATGATAGACAGAGAAATACTATACCTCAGCATCAGAATTTAAAAACGAGGTATTTAACTTTTTCACTAATAATAATAATCGGTATGAACTATCCAAATGAATAAAAGAAATGCAAACAATCTGAAACAAATTCTATCATATCTGATTATTAACAGCACTTATATACAGATCTCTTTTGCAACGACTGTTAATTTCTGTCATAGACTGGGAAATAATCTAAGAAACGTGTATAGAACATTGAATGAATGTTTCGTCTTAACTTGAAACTTATCAAGTGTCGTATAAATGCGACTGAACTGGAGTGTAACGAGTTCATATTTCTAACTCCAGTGATATACCATGATAGTCGCCATTTAATAGCCCTGTCTTTCTGATATCCCGAAAATATACACAGATAAACAACAGCTACAAATCTAAATGATAATGTAAACATCACAAACCAGATGAAGAAACACTGGTTTTTAAGCATATCTAAGGCACATAGTGTGTAATGCAGTTTAATTCAATGAACAAACAAAATGTATATTTATTTACAGATTAAACAGCCTAGAAAAATGAAAACGAACAAAAAAACAAATTAATCAGAGAATAAATAGAAATAAACAATATCTACCACTCATACACACATAGTAACGTAAAGTACACATGCACAGACATACATCTCCCAACTAATATATACAGTAGGTCAGATTCTTCTTAAAGTCAAGGCTAAAGAGAAAAGAACGCATGTGAATGAGTGATCCTACCATACACTAACGCACACACACACACACACAAGGAAAACTATATCACGTTTATTTCTGCTGTTCTTCCATCCTAACTACTAACTGATACTTTTCACTCTCTCTCTCTCTCTCTATTACTGTCTCTTCATTTGTAAACAATTTTTTAGAAGAAAATAGCAATAAATAAACAAATAAATAAGAACGGTATAAGCAGAAACGAACAAACGAACGAAAAAACGCCTTTTCAACTCCATAAAGAAAATTTTCAATAGAGAAAAACAGAAAAAATTGAAGGGCAATATGATAGAGATTGCTGTAAACGAATGAATCAACCACTAGATGGATGGATATAAGGCCATAATTATTAATAATAATAATAATAATAATAATAATAATAATAATAATAATAATAATAATAATAATAATGGTGAATGGGCTAAGAAGGGAACAAAGAGGTAAACACACTAGTACTATTTACTACAGTTAATAATAATAATAATGGGTAAACAGTGAACACAATTAAAAGAAGCGTTAAATATATGTATATATATCCAGGATGCGAACCCATGTCAATGCACGCACGCCAATATACATTGGATGTATGGATGTGATTAGGTGGTATAGAGAGTTGTAAAATGGGGATAAGATCAAACAAAAGTAATGGGAAGTAGAAGGGAGAAATATACATAATTATAACATCTATATATAGTATAGATAAATTCAAACTAAGATGAGTAAAATCAATTTCTTGGTTCATTTACGTTTTTAATGATTTAACCAATAACTAGGACAAATTATTAATCAACAATTCTCTCTGCCTATGCATTACCATTTATCACCTCTGAAATAACCACAGTAACAGCAAGCAATAAGAATGAATCTACGGAAAATGATTATATATATATATATATATATATATATATATATATATATATATATATATATATAATTTGTTCGAGGTGAAATGATACTAACCAGTTTCCAGTATCAATGTGGAGTGGGGACTCGAACTTACAACATATCACTTGAAAGTTAAATCATTTAACCACTAACCCCCCCCCATTTCTCGGTGTAACCAATAGCATACAACATTCAATTCATGAAAATTAATGATAACACTGATATTATCCACTCGACAAGTTAACTAGAAATTAGTCTGTTACTTAGGAAAACTATTACAAGCAAGTTCATGCATCAAATCTAGCGATATATAAAAGACATATAATTGTAAAACTGGACTCCTTTATATATAAAACATTATGGACAATACTTATATGAGTAAGATTTCATTAATTAAATTTTAAATGAATCCAACATTTCACTTGACAACCTAGACCAAAATTTTATATAAATTCTTTTGAAAAATAACAAATTAAATATGCATAGTGATATGGTTTAGTAGTTAAGTTTCAACTAGTACAGTTAGAGGTTCGAATCTTGCTCTAGCTATTTAGCTTTGAGCAATTGGGTCAGTCAGTTACAACGTAGGATCAGGCACATATATACATCGGTTCAAGTTGACATACCTCATTAGCACAACATGATGAACACAAAATTCATAGAAGTAGTTTAATCAGAGGTGGTAATACAGGAAAGAAAGATAGCATGTAAGGACATAGTACAGGAAGAGAGAATTAGTATGTAGAAAGGAAGATATGAAGCGATTTTAATCTTATGGTTTAAGGGAAGACAAAGAGTGTATACACTGATGCCATTGTGATCGATTCTGAGCCATGTCACCAAGAGTCTCCAACCATTGGTTACAATAGTCACACGGACCCCAATCAAGTAGTCTGCATCTACCAACATGGCTCAGATCAGAAGGAGCGATTAGGTACTTTTAACTAGTTCTCAAAAATAACACGAGGCAGAAAGAAAAAATACACGTATCTGTAACTGGTAATGAGATAATAATAAACTGGATATAATATAGGGATTTGTTACAATATTGGCTATTCTATGTTAAGATTATTTTATTATTACTAAATAAGGAACAGGTAAATAATGTGATGTAATCAAAATTGTGTTTAATTGTCTCATCTGATATCAGACATAGAAAGTATCACTTTAAAATCTACCCATTATTATTACTTATTATGATTGCTATCATGGGGTTTTATTTTCTAAGTTTCATAAATAACATACCAGACTACAATAAAACAATAAAAAAAGGTGAACACAAGATACTGTAACATGAATCCTTTAATGAAAGAAGAAAAACAAAACAACAATCACGTTTCTCTAATTTACCTTTATTGCATGTTCGTTCATGTGTATACATAGACAAGACAATATTTTATTCCCACAAATGATTATCATTATTCTGCCCCAGACGAGATTTTAACAAATTGATTAAAATCCATGTCTATCCTAATTCATCTGGATACCTTTCTCTTTCTCTCTCTCTCATTTTCTTGATTTAATAAGTAAGCACAAAGTTCAAATACAACTAACAGTTCAGACAACAAAGGAAAGCTACTACTTCTAGTCTTACTGATGTAGTCAATAAATAGTGCAACAATCAAATATATACATATAATCTGTATATATAATAAACCAAAGATAAACAACAAGAAAGTCATAACAGAAAGAAAAATAAATAAAGGAAAGATAACAATAAGTGGACATAACAAAGAATATAAGGAAGTGGGATGTGTATGGGTGGATGATTGGAGGATACAGTAAACTTGACCTGAGGAAATTTTTTTTCTTCTCTCTCTCTCTCTCTATAACAGTAGGTGGTCCTAAATGTCATAGTTCACATAGAAGAAAGTGTATCTCTTTATCTTTGCATACATCAACTCTTTCTCTCTCTCTATCTCTGCTTGTATAAAAATATTCATTCGACAACAAGGTCACAATGGATCAATACAATCAAATAAACAAACATACTTAAACATTAAGAAAAGATTTAATTGAAACAAGCTAAATCTCAACAAAAGAACCATATATGAACTAACTAAATGACCAATTTGAAAGTGATCCAAAAATAAACTACTATCACGTGAATGTTATACACATTCCAGATTATCATCATCATCATCAACAACAACATAAAGAAAGATGCTTGGATACTTGTAGAGAAAAAAAAAGTACAAAACTGAATTCAATTTTATGAAATGAATTGAGTATTATAAAAATTAATCTTAGATTCAAATAGTTAATAATTATTTTCTAAACAAGAGATAAACTGTGTGTGATCACTCAAGTCAAACACCTTTTTCATTAGGAAGCTTTGAACATAGGTTTTGTAACAGTTAGCATTCATCAGAAAGGCATAATTACAATCCTAAAGGCGGCCTGCTTGAATATCTGGGCTACCTGTTCCTCCGATCTAGATATTTCATCAAGTTATCTGTTTTATTGTTTGTTTTAGCACATTATTATATCTATTGTGCACACAATCTGTTCAGGCGCGTTTATGAAAAGTTTACAACCTTTCGCTATACGGGATACAAAAAGGTACAATCAGCGACATCAAGGTGGCCGGCAATATGCATTGAAACGAATGAACATTAATCAAATGTGGATTACCGAACTCCTAACATCTAACTGGTCATCATTCAAAATTTATCGTCACAATCGATCAAGGTATAAGAAAAGAAAACTTGTTGAAATACTTTATGCTGAGAATTCTATGTTATACCAAAAATATAATGTTGAATAAAGCTTCTAATAATAATAATAATAATAATAATAATAATAATAATAATAATAATAATAATAATAATAATAATAAAATTTACGCTCCATTGACCACTTATTTACCCACACTATTGTTATAACCAAAGACGGATAGTGGCTAGCAGTGGAATCCAGTTTGACGCCCGTTTCGTCCTAATTGGGACTAGTCGGCTGGATGTGCCTGCATCTCAGAGTTGA